GTCCATTTCTTCTACATTGTCCTTTTTGTTGGTGTGTATTTGCTCATAACACCCTCTTATGATTCCTTGTATTTCTGTGGTGTCAGTTGTAATTTCTCCTTTTTCACCTCTGATTTTATTAATTTGGGCCCTCTCCCTTTTTTTATTGATGAGTCTGACTAAAGGCTTATCAATTTTGTTTATCTTTTCAAAGAATCAGCCTTTAGTTTCACTGATCTTTTCTATTGTTTGTTAGTCTCTATTTCATTTATTTCTGCTCTAATTTTTATGATTTCTTTTCTTCTACTAACTTTGGGGTTTGTTTGTTCTTCTTTCTCTGGCTGCTTTAGGTGTAAGGTTAGGCTGTTTACTTGAGATTGTTCTTGTTTCCTGAGGTAGGCTTGTATTGCTATAAACTTCCCTCTGAGAACTGCTTTTGCTGTGTCCCAGAAGTTTTGGATCATTGTGCTTTCGTTTTCATTTGTCTCAAAGTATTTTTTTTATCTCTTTGATTTCTTCCATGATCCACTGGTTGTTTAGTAGCATACTGTTTAGCCTTCACATGTTTGCAGTTTTTTTTCTTATAGTTGATTTCTAACCTTATAGCATTGTGGTTGGAAAAGATCCTTGGTATGATCCCAATTTTCTTAAATTCCTGAGGCTAGCTATAGGGGCCAGCATGTGGTCAATTCTGGAGAATGTTCCATGTGCACCTGAGAAGAATGTATACTCTGTTGTTTTCAGATGGAATGCTCTATAGATATCAATTAGGTCCATCTGGTGTAATGTGTTATTTAGGGCCTGTATTTCCTTATTGATTTTCTGTGTGGATGATCTGTCCATTGATGTAAGTGGGGTGTTAAGGTCCCCCACTATTACAGTTATTGTCTATTTCTCTTTTTACATCTGTTAACAATTATCTTACATATTGAGGTGCTTCTATGTTGGGTGCATATATATTTACAATTCTTACATTATCTTCTTGGATTAATCCCTGAAGCATTATGTAGTGTCCTTCTTTGGCTCTTTAAACAGTCTTTATTTTACAATCTATTTTGTCTGATGTAAGTATTGCTACTCCAGCTTTCTTTTGATTTCCATTTGCATGGAATATCTTTTTCCATCCCCTTACTTTCAACCTGCATGTGTCTCTAGCTCTGAAGTGGGTCTCTTGTAGACAGCATATATATGGGTCTTGCTTTTTTTACCCATTCAGCCAGTCTGTGTCTTTTGGCTGGGGCATTTAATCCATTTACATTTAAGGTAATTATTGATAGGTGTGCTCTTACTGCCTTTTGTTAATTGTTTTGAGTTTGTTTTTGTAGAGCTTGCCCCCTACCCCCTTTTTCTTTTTGTTCTCTTTTCTTGTGCTTTGATGACTAGAGAAGTTCCTTTAACATTTGTTGTAAAGCTGATCTGGAGGTGCTGAATTCTTTTCGCTTTTGTTTACTTGTGAAACTTTTGCTTTCTCCATCAAATCTGAATGAGAACTTGCTGGATAGAATATTCTTGGCTCTAAATTTTCTCCCTTCACTTATTTCTAACATTTTTTTGCATTTGCCTCTCAGTTTTGCCAGGGAGTCTGGCAAATCTTTAAAGGAACTTTTCATGCATAATTTAATGTTAACAAAGTTAGAATATAAATTTAAATGTAAAAATGGAGTGTTCCTTAAGATCTTTTAGCCTTTCTTGAGAAATGCAAACTAATTCAATTGCTTCCAATGTTTTATTTAGACTTTAATGGTGGGAGTCTATGTCTAACTCAGAATAATTTTATTTATATACTTTCAATCTCTCTTACTTTGGATTAAGAGTTTGAGCTCTATTTACACAGAACTTGTATTTCCTTCAAAAAATACTTCTGTCAAGGACCTAACTGGTAATCAATAAATTTATCATAAATGAATGCAAGCAACACCTCTCTATATTCACAAGAACTGACAAACAGCACCTTTTGAGTACAGTGTAGTCTGTATGATAATTACAGTAAGAGATACTAAAAAAGGCTTGGAAACCAGAATCTATTTCAAAGGCATAGATTATTTAATACTACGAACTTTTCAATTTATATAAGGTTTTAAGTTATAAGAAAGGCACACCAAAGCAACTGACATAAGTCAGATTCATGTAATTATTGTTGAAAGGAACTTCAGAGACCACCTAGAGCAAGAGCAAACTTTTTCTGTAAAGGGCCAGATGGTGAATATTTTAGGCTTTGTAAACCACATGATCTCCGTGCAGATAACTTAACTCTGCTGTTGTGGTGTAAAAGTAACTATAGACAATATATAAACAAATGAGTGTGGCTGTGTCCCAGTAAAATTTTATTTGTACACAATGGAAGTGAGCTGGATTTGGTCCATAAGCTGCAGTGTCCAATACCTGAACTCTTTCTTTTTATACACAAAGAAACTAAGGCCCAGAGAGGTTAAACTATTTGACAAAGGTCACCAGATAAATAGTGGAAGAGTAAATGCAGTATTTGTTTCAAACCAGGTATTCTTCAACAACACAAACTCTAAAATGATTACATTTCTCAAAGAGTTAACATAGAGTGCTCTATGAAATCTCAGAAAAATCAAGTGTTGTAATTTCTTATTTAAGGTCAAAAGAATTTAATGAAATGTACTTAAGCCATGAAGTAGCAATCCATCAATCCATACCTATACATTTACACATACACACACATACACACATATATATAAAATAACTGTGTTTCTTTTTTTTAATCATATAATTGTAACTTTAAAAAATTTTTTATTGTTTTTAACTGAAGTATAGTCAGTTTACAATATTGTGTCCATTTCTGGTGTACAGCACGTTTCAGTCAAACATATATACACACCTACTTGTTTTCATATTCTTTTCACTATATGTTACAAGATACTGAATATAATTCCCTGTGCTAAACAGTATAAATTTGTTGTTTATATATTTTATATTCAGTAGTTAGTATCTGCAGATTTTTTTAATCTATTTTATTACTGAGGTATAGTCAGTTTTACAATGTTGTATCAATTTCTGGTGTACAGCACAATGCTTCAGTCATACATGAATATACATATATTCATTTTCATATTCTTTTTCACCATACGCTACTACAAGATATCAAATATAGTTCCCTCTGCTATACAGTATAAACTTATTGTTTATATATTTTATATATAGTAGGTAATATCTGCAAATCTTGAACTCTCAATTTATATCCCTTTCCATCACTTTTCTCCCTGGTAACTGTAAGTTTATTTTTTTTCCCCTTCCTTTCTTTTTGTAAAAGATTTTCAATCTTTGTTGTTGGGGTTTTCCTTAACACGTGAATTTTATTCACTTTTATTATTTGTTTTAATGTACAACATATATATACATATGTGTGTGAATATATGTAATAGATATAAGTAAATGTATTTTTTAAACATTTTTTATTTAGTTATAGTCATTTTACAATGTTGTGTCAAATTCCACTGTAGAGCACAATTTTTCAGTTATACATGAACATACATATATTCATTGTCACATTTTTTTTTCACTGTGAGCTACCACAAGATTTTGTATGTACTTCCCTGTGCTATACAGTATAATCTTGTTTATCTATTCTACATATACCTGTCAGCATCTACAAATTTTGAACTCCCAGTCTGTCCCTTCCCAACCTCCTCCCCCTTGACAACTACAAGTTTGTATTCTATGTTTGAGTCTGTTTCTGCTTTGTATTTATGTTTTTTTTCTTTTTTTAAAGATTCCACATATGAGCAATCTCATACAATATTTTTCTTTCTGTTTCTGGCTTACTTCACTTAGAATGACATTCTTCAGGGACACCCTTGTTGCTGCAAATGGCGTTATGTTGTCGGTTTTTATGGCTGAATAGTATTCCATTGTATAAATATACCACTTCTTTATCCAGTCATCCGTTGATGGACGTTTAGGCTATTTCCATGTCTTGGCTATTGTCAATAGGGCTGCTATGAACATTGGGGTGCAGGTGTCATTTTGAAGTAGGGTTCCTTCTGGATATATGCCCAAGAGCGGGATTCCTGAGTTATATGGTAAGTCTATCCTAGTCTTTTGAGGAATCTCCATACTGTTTTCCACAGTGGTTGCACCAAACTGCATTCCCACCAGCAGTGTAGGAGGGTACCCTTTTCTCCACAGCCTCTCCAGCATTTGTCATTTGTGGACTTTTGAATGATGGCCATTCTGACTGGTGTGAGTTGATACCTCATTGTAGTTTTGATTTGCATTTCTCTGATAATTAGTGACACAGAGCATTTTTTCATGTGCCTATTGATCACTTGTATGTCTTCCTTGGAGAATTGTTTGTTTAGGTCTTCTGCCCATTTTTGGATTAGGTTGTTTGCTTTTTCTTATTAAGTCGTATGAGCTGCTTATATATTCTGGAGATCAAGCCTTTGTCGGTTTCATTTGCAAAAATTTTCTCCCCTTCTGTAGGCTGTCGTTTTTTTTACTTATGGCTTCCTTTGCTGTGCAGAAGCTTGTAAGTTTCATTAGGTCCCATTTGTTTATTCTTGCTTTTATCAATCTTTGTTGTTTTTTAAAATCAATTTATTTAATTTTTTATTTGTTGGGGGAGGTGGTTAAGGTTTACTTATTTACTTCTTTAAATGGAGATACTGGGGATTGAATCCAGGGCCGCGTGAATGCTAAGCGTGCATTCTACCACTAAGCTATACCCTACCCCCCATAAGTTTGTTTTGAATGTTATCATTGTGTTTCTCATGTGTAATACTGTTCTCAGAATACAGGGATTCAATAAATTGTGTTACATGAATTCAGAATACAAATTAAAATGCAATTCAATTTTAGGCACAATCATATGTGAAAACACTTTCATTTAAAACTTTCATGATCTCAAAGAATACGTTTCTATTAATTACTTAAAAGTGCAGTAACTCTGCACCACTGGGCAGTCAGCGACATTGTAAAGAAATCTTCAATTAGATCATTTTAAAAAAAACCTCTCTTTAAAACAGTATGATTCTACTTCAGATGAACTATCATACCTAGTAAATCTGCTCCTTCATCCACATCTCCAATTAGGCCTGAACCAGCTGAAGACAGTTCTTCAAAGAGAGATTCTGTATTGCGATCAAAAGCTTTATTCTCTATGCCTTTGGTGGGAGTGCTATGCAACAAAAACAACAAAACCAAATCAACAACTATAACAAAGATGTTTTTATCAGTGCAAAATCAATACAAAAGGCTAAGTTACATAGGAATTTTTTTACCTGAAATTTAATATAAATTCTTATTTAACAAGAATTCTCAGAGGGTTCCTAAGAAACTTCCATTACACTCCAGAGAGAAGTGAAGAAATTACAGAATGTTTTTGTGGTGAGATCCTAGCAAACACAAAGAATAAATGACAGCTAACAGAAAGCATAACTCTGCACTGTATCAGGCAGTCTAAGTGCTTTCACAGATTACCTTATAAAACAAAACATTCATACCTACTCTAAAACGCAGTTGCTGCTATTATCCCAAATTTTACAGAAGAGGAAACTAAAAAGGCTGATGAATTTGCTAAGATCATCCTGCAAATGAGTGAAAGAGGCAGAATTCAAACCCAGGCAGCCAGGCTTCAGAATCCATAATCTTAACTACTGTGTGTGTGTGTGTGTGTGTGTGTGTGTGTGTGTGTGTACTGTCTCTGTATAAATTGGCATGGTATCTATTAAAATTTAATATGTAAATACCCACTGACCCAAGAATTTGATGTCCAAAAAATCCCTACAAAAATCCTGTCACAAGAAGGCAATTATGTATGTAAAATGATGGTCAGAGCAGTATTTTTACAGTAGCAAAAAGTTGAAACGACCTAAGTGATCATTAATAAGGTGCAGAAGAAATAAGTTATGGATATAAATAAAAGTTTAAAATTTTAATTTTATAGTTAAAAAATATTAAAATAGAGCTTTCCAAACAAACAAACAAAAAGTGCATTTTAAAAGGCAAGTTGCAGAGCTCTGGTCAAGACGGCGGAGTGGTAGGCCCAGGAGCTTGCCGCTCCTTGCAACTACAACAAAACCACAGCTGAATGCCAAACAACCATCAAAAAAAAGACTAGAACCTAGCAGAAAAGATATTCTGCAACTGGAAACATAAAAAGGGAACCACAGCAGGACAGTAGGAGGGGCATGCTCAGGATATAATTGGGCCCCATACCCCCCAGGTGGGCAACCCACAAGCTGAAGAACAGTTAAGTTAAGCAGAGGCCCTCCCACAGGAGTGAGAGCTCTAATCCCTACATCAGTCTCCCTAGACCCGGTTCTGGCATTGGGAAGAGAAGGGAACACCAAGATATCTGGTTTTGAAGGCTTGGCTCCAGGAGCTCCACAGGACTGGAGGAAACAGACTCCATTCACTTGAGAAGCGTACACGGAAACTCACATGCACCAAGCACAGAGGCAGTGATTTCATAGGAACCTGCACCAGACCAGCCTGCTGGATTTGGAGGGTCTCCTGGGGGTGTGGGGGATGGCTGTGGCTCACTCAGGGGACATAAAAGCTGGTGGCGGACATTCTGGGAGTGTTAATCTACATGAGCTTTCCAGGAGGCTGACATCTTGATTGGATCATGAGCACAAAGACCTAGCCCCACCCCACAGGCAGCAGGGAAGCCTCAGGCCAAACAACATACAGGGTGGGAACACAGCCCCACCCATCATCAGACTTCCTAAGCCACAAAGGCCTCTAGACACAGCCCTACCCATCAGAGGTCCAGGACCAAGCTTCACCCAGCAGTGGGCAGGCACTGGCTCCTCCTGCCAGGAAACCTGCATAAGCCTTTAGTCCAACCTCACCCACCAGGGACAGATACTAGAAGTAAGAAAACAACAATCCCAAAACCTGTGGAAGGAATCTACAAACACAGAGAAAGATAGACGATATGAGGCAGCAAAGGAATATTTCCCAGGCCAAGGCACAAAATAAAATCCCAGATGAAGAAATAAGTGATGAGGAGATAGGAAATTTACCTGAGAAAGACTTTTAAGTAATGATGGCCAAGATGTTTAAGAACTCAAGAAGAGTATATATGCATAGAGTGAAGTTTTCAGCAAAGAGTTGGAAAATATAAATACCCAAACAGAGCTGAAGAATAAAATCACTGAAATGAACAATATACTGGAAGGAATGAAGAATAAATGAGGCAGAACGGATCAGTGAACTAGAAGACAGATTAGTGGAAATCACTACTTCAGAACAGAAAAAATAAAAAATAAAAAGGAATGAGGATAGTTTAAGAGAACGCTGGGACAACATGAAGCACTCTTATATTCACATTATAGGGGCCCCATAAAGAGAAGAGAGAGAGAGAAAAGACCTGGGAAAATTTTGGGAGAGATAGGAACTGAAAACTTCCCCAACTTGGGAAAGGAAACAGTCACCCAAGTCCTGGAAGAGCAGACAGTACCACACAGAATCAACCCAAAGAGGAACACACCAAGATACACAGACATCAAACAGACAAAAACTAAGGATAAGAAGAAAATATTAAAATTAGCAAGAGAAAAGCGACAAATAATACACAAGGGAACTCCTAAAAGGTTATCAGCTGATTTTTCAGCACAAACTCTACAGGCCAGAAGGGAGTGGCACGATATATTTAAAGTGATGCAAGGGGGAAACTTACAACCAAGAATACTCTATCCAGCAAGGCTCTCATTCAGACTTGATGGAGAAACCAAAATTTCACAGATAAACAAAAGCTAAAAGATTTCAGCACCACCAAACCAGCTTTACAACAAATGCTAAAGAACCTTCTCTAGTCATCAAACCATAAGAAAAGAGAACAAAACAAAGAAAGAGAAAAGAGAGAGAGAGACCTACAAAAGATTGCTTTGGCTGTTTGGGGTCTTTTGTGGCTTCTTATAAATTTTGGAATTGCTTGTTCTAGTTCTGGGAAGAATGTCACAAGTATTTTGATAGGGGTTGCGTTGGGTCTGTGGATTGCTTTGGGTAGTGTAGCCATTTTGATAGTGTTGATTCTTCCAATCCAAGAGCACAAGAAATCTTTCCACTTCTTTGTGTCATTTTGGTTTTCAGAGTATAGGTAACCTCCTGGCTAAGTTTATTTCTCAGTATTTTGTTGTTTTTGATGTAATGGAAATGTCTCTGCCAGTTATAAAATTCTGGGTTTTGAAGTAAAAAAAAAAAAAAAAAGATGAAGGGCTACAAATGGCAAAATATCCTTCTTTTAATGGTTGACTTGTATTACATTTATTTACATATATATATATGTAAATACACACACACACACACACACACACACACGCTGCATCTCCATTACCTATTCAACTATTGATGTGCACTTAGGTTGCTTCCATATCTTGGTAATTATAAATAACATTGCTGTTAATAGCAGGGTGTATGTATCTTTCTGAGTTAATTCTTATTTTGTGGTTGGCTTTATACCTTTGATAACTATGTAAGTTCAAAAAGCTAAAGCTCTAAACGTTCTTAGAAACAATGAACAGTACATATATATAAGTTAAAAAATATATGTGCAGTTAAAAAAAATCTATAAAGTCATGAAAGACATAGAAGAAACTTAAAAGACATATTACTAAATGACAGAAGCCAGTCTGAAAAGGCTATAAACTGTACGATTCCAACCAAATGACATTCTGGAAAAGGCAAAGCTACAGAAACAATAAAAAGATCCTGGTTTCCAGGGGTTTGGGGAGAGGGAGGGAGAGAGGAATGAATAGATGGAGCATAAGGGATTTTTAAGGCAATGAAATTATTCTGTATGATACTATAGTGGTGGCTATATGTCATTATGCATTTGTCAAAGCCCATAGAATGTACAACATCAATAGTGAACCCTAATGTAAACTATGGAGTTTGTTTGATAATAATGTGCCCATGTTGGTTCATCGATTGTACCAAATATCCCTCACTGATGAGGGATGTTGAGGGTAGGGTAGTATATATGTGTGGGTAGGGAGGGCTATGTGCAAACTCTGCACTTTCTGCTCAATTCTGTTGTGAACTTGAAACTGCTCTAAAAGAATAAAGTCTATTAAAAAATGACCAAAAAAAGGCAAATTGCAATACAGTATGTATAAAAAAGCCCTTTTTGCAGGGTTGTAGAGGAGAATGGGGAAATGTACATGTTTGCATATTAATGTTATATTAATAGCAAAAAATCTGCACAGGATTTCCAGTTAAACATGTTGGACATAGTCATTTTTCACCCAATTATTCAGAAATGCAGCTAAAATGACAGCAAAGGAATTATAAAGGTATATGCCCACAAAGACATGGGGAATAGAAAAAGATCTAAGAAAGCAGATAAAATGTGAACAAAATTCTGTAAGATGGAAAACAGATGGACAAACAGTAGAAACTGATTAAACTGATTCAACAGAGAAGAAAAAGCTGAAACTTAAGCCATTAGTGTGTAAGGAGGAAGTCAGTATGCTGCCAGAACCCCTGAAGGGCCCACGAATTGAAGAAATCAGAAATCTGCAGAGAGAGGTGTGAAAGAGGGACTATAAGATAGAGGGATGGGATGAAAAGATAGCACAAGAAGTAGTATGAGACCTAAATCCAATCCTCCAGAACAGTGAGACCTCCCTTCTCCCAGCATTGCTCCCTGAACAATGAAAGCCAAGGTTAAACGTTGTAGGCAGAAAACTGAAGAATCAGTATCATTTATTTAAGTATGAGCAAAACAGCCACAGAGGACTAGGTATTCGAAGAATGTCTCTATCATAAAATTAAGAGCCCAAAACAAATGGACTATGATGGGGCACTCAGAGTAAAAGGAGACAAGGATTGTAGACAGCAGCAAAAAGTTTAAAAAAAAAAACAACTTTTTTTAAAATAACAAATGTTGCATCCATAAGAGAATTATAGGATGTTATAAAAAGCAACCATCCAAGAAAAATAAAAAGATTTTAGGAAAAAAAAATTAATGAGGGTTGAAAGATAAAGTTGAAGAAATCATCCAGAAATTAGAACTAAAACTGAAGAGACAGGGGAAAAAGGGGAACAGGGAATTATGAGGGTTAGTCCAGGATGTTCAATATGTTCAATCGGTGTTCCACAGAGAAAGAAGAGACAACAAAAAGGAGAAATAAAAAGAAAATTTAGAACTGGGAAGTATGAATTTCCAGATAAAAGGACTTATGCAGATACAAAAGAAGACCCCTATATCAAACACATCATCATGAATTTTTAAAAAGGAAAACAGAACAAGGATAAAGAGAAATCCTAAAAACTTAGAAAGAGAATATAAAAAGAGCAAGAACCCAAATGGCATCACCCCAAACTCAACATGATGATGAAGCAATGTCTTCACAATTCTGCAGACTTTACAACCTAGAATTCTGTACCCAGCTAAACTATCATGTCTTTATATGATATTTATCACGTTCAGGTTCTCAAAAACTTACTTCTCATACAGCCTTTGCCAAGAAAGAAAGAATACGTTCTGTCAAAACAAAGGCATTCATCAGGAAACAAGATGACATGTGTCCAGGAAACAGAAGACAGAACAGAGGACAGAGGTGAAAAGAATCCCCAGGATGAAAGTGAGAGCAAATTCCAGGACCAGAGCAAACATCATAAAGTCTAGATTGGAGAACAGGAATAGAAGACATCAGGAGAGAGTGTGACAGGAAACTGGTTTCATGTTTGGCCATTTTGAGAATGTTTATGTTTATGATTTGTAGGGCATCCGTCAATGAATTAGTGATAGGTATGTAGAAGTCTAAGCAAAACAAACAAACAAAACCAACCAAAAAACCCCTGAGACTTTACTAAATTAAAGAAAAACAAAGTTGTAAAAGAAAGGAAATGTAATCAGTATATTCTGTGGCTAGGCTGTTAAGTATTTACATAATCATAACGATATAATCAGTGGGTCTTAATGTAACAAAAACAGATATAATTATATTGGGAGGATGAAAGGAAAGGCGGTGGTTTAAGCACTGTATCCTTGTCATGGCTATAAAGTCTTCCATTATAAAGTCAACAGCTAGTATTGCAATGTTTTTAAACCAGCGCTTCTCATTTGATCCTCAGAATACAGAAGATGGTTTGAGTGACTATTTTCTCAATTATCTCAAAGAAAGTACATAGCTAGTACTGTTCTAAATGCACAGGAGTGGAGATAATTCATTATATACAAGGGGCACCTTAGGGCATTAGGACTTAATTTACTCATAAAATCCCAACTGAGAAAGAGAGGGACTAAGGGAAAAAGTGTAAGGATGTGATTTAGATACTTGAAGATAAATACCCAAAGAGAACTGAGAAGTGATAGAGACTGACTCTTGGGAGTGGGAGTGAGATGTTGGTAGGGGCAAGGGACTAGTATTGCCCTTCATATTTTGTATTGCCTTTGACCTTAACAGTGCATACATGCATTAGTCTAATAAGTGTTTTTTATTTTTAAAAAGAGGTTTAGAATGATAAAAGCACACAAATGATAGTAAGTAGCTGTATCTCCTAGGTTTAGGAGAGAATGGATAAAAAGCAAATTTCACTTTCTACACTCTGCTTTGTTTAATTTATTAAACAAACAATAAAGGAAAAATATTTTAATAGGACACAGCCTTTGAAATCAGAGAGTCCTAGATTAAATCCCAGCTCCGCCTCCTGCTAGTTCAGTAATGTTGGACAAGTTACCATACAATTCTGAGCTTCCTTCCAACAGGGGTGAAGACAGCTACCTAACAAGGTTATAATTAAGATAAAATTATATATAAAATAATGTTGATAATAATATTAGCTAACATTTATTGAACCGGGCACTTGCCAATGATTTAGCATGTATTAAGACACTTATTCTTCACAACCATCTGAGGTATTATAATTCCCTTTTATGGATGAGGAAACTTACCTCAGATTCAAATCCAAGTCAGGATTTGAACGCACATAGTCTTATTCTAGGCTCAGGCTTTTTAACCACTATTGCATACTGCACAATGTCTAGCAGTGATCAATAAATGGCATATTTTTATGGTCATTGTTAATTAATTTAAAAAATTTCTATTAGAAATTAAAAGGCAGTAGCTCCTGTGTGACATTCTTGAACATCAATATATTTCAGATGGCCTTCATTAAGATGACAAATAACCATTCTCTTCTCACACTAAACAGCCTACCCATGTGGAATGAGACTAATTTCTTCCAATAATAAGATCATTACAGTTTTGAAGGGAAGACATTCTCTTCTGCCTGATCTGGGGAAAGGAATAAAGTTTGCTCAAATTATTACTTTTCTCAATTTTGCTTCTATGTTTTCTAAATTGTAAGAAAGTATGGAATACTCTTTGTCCATCTTTTTTTCCCCCGCACCCTTCCACATGCTCCTAGTTCCTGATGCCACAGAGGTAACATTTCATAAAACATTTTAAGCATGTACAATATCCAGATTCAAGATTCCAAAACCAAAATATAATATCAGTATTTCTTCAGCAAAATATTTGAATGCATTTTGTCTAGTCAGAGACCAGAAGACAATGGGTACTTCTGGGAGAGGGAAAAGATGTCCTTTCTAACATTTACAGTACCTTGAGCCTTTATATCCACTGAGATCTTTGTCCATATCCAACTCAGGAGTGGACTCGATGATTGCCTGAACTTCTGACTTCTCTTCATTTTCAGCAGAGCCTTGGGAAATGACAAAATGACATAAAAATAATGCACATAACACATACTGTCCCTCATATGAAAATCCTGTTGCTTCTATGATTGTAAATATATCATTTCACCATAAAATTTTTTTAAAGACTTGATTCTAGGAAACATTATTTTAGACAGATAAAATGTCATATATACAATTAACAGTAAATCCAAGAAACTAATAAATAACCAAAGAAAGTTTTCATTTTTGCTTCTTTCTGGCTATCCCCAGCCATAACTCACTGTTTTCATTCTATTTAAAGTGTGGAATACAGAGAAATTAAAAACATAGCCTAATGACCTAAGGCAGGGACTGTCCTTCTGTCTTTCAAGCATTCCAACCTGCCAATCCCCCATCCCAATTTTTCTCTCCAAAACTTTATTTAATCATCACCTCTTCTAAGCTAATTTAAAATTGAGTACAATTTTATAAATCTACAGCAACAACACCCCAAACATGTATCTTCTCACACCCACATCATCTGGATTTATTGAATACTTTGCCAGTAAATAAAGAACTAGGGTCACTTACCTGTTGACACATTTCTAGTTTCTTGGGCTACCTGTACTTCAATGTGCTTGCTGATCTCTGACTTTTCTGGGGTATCTGCAGCCTTTACAAATCCTTCATTATCTTCATTTAAGGGAGTATCAGTAGGAATTGCTGCCACATCTGAAGCAGCTGTTGATGCTGGAGTGGTAGCTTTAGATCCTCCTTGGCTAACATCAGAAAGTTCATCCTACAAATAAATGTAATTAGGGAAAAATGTTTAATGAGTACTTTATTTTAAATTATTTTTAAAATGGGTTAAGAAATAAATTTGAGAGAAAATGTTATTTTTTTAAAAAGTCAGTGATTACCAAAGGAAATCAATAAATAATCTCTGCAGATTATTTTCAAGTAATTGGGAAATGTTTAAGTAATCATATTTTTCCAAACATACATAGGACTCTTCTAAATAGAAAATCTGAAGATAAAAAGTAGATTGGCAGTATTAGCAATAAAAGTATACAATAATGTCACCAGAGTTCGTAACAACAGTTCTAATTTGTACAATCATTTGATAATAAAGACCTATTTCAAACACCTAGAGAATGTACTGTGTCATAGCTACTCTAAAACAGCAATGAAATAAGATTCTTAATCTCATTGTGGAGTTTTGTAAACAGCGTTCTTAAAACATGTGGTATCCAGGTCATTTGAAGTGCTTATATAAAGGACAGATTCTAAGTCCAAGTCCAGGCTTTAGGCAGTAAGATCAGGAAACCTGCATTTTAACAAACAATCCAGATGATTTATATACTCATTAAAATTTGGTAACTACTATTATAGGGTCCACAGATAGGCTTCGAGAAGTACATGCCCAGACTGAAAATTTATGCAAAAATCTTTGTAAAATGAATTTTTCTAGGAAAAGAATCTACGAATTTTATCAGATTTTCAAAGGGGTTTGTGACGCCAAAATAATTAAAAACAGCTATCCAATGGCCACCAATAATGAGGCAGCTCTTTAGAGCAAAGTACCCACCTTCCAAAAAAGAGAATCTGACAAAATGTTTACTACTAGTAATAATAATAATGATGATGGTGGTGGTGGTGATAATGATGACTAGGGAGAATTTATGAATTTACCACATGTATAATTTTGGATAAGTTATATATTCTTTCTATACCTATCTGTATATCTGTGTATCTGTACATCTGTATCTCATTTGTAAAACAGAGATAATGGCACCTAATTCATTACATTATTCTAACCTTTTCTATAGAAAGACATAGCAACATGTTCACACATACTGTTTAAAATGTTGGCTATTTATTCCAATTTATAACAATACATTATGCACAACTTTGAAAATTTCACAATGCATGCTTCTGGCCTAAGACAAAAAAATATATATATAAACATACTAAGTTGTGCTATGGTGGGAGATGATTTTAGTGATATTTGTCATCTCTCTGTAAATTTTTACTTTTTAATTTTTAAAGAACATTGTTAAAAATACATTATAGCTATAAAAATAATAGAATAGAATCCAAGCAATTAAAAACAACTAACACAATATCAATCTTACACTGAGAAATTTCGGTTATTTTAAGTGCTGAGAAGTAAGAGGGTGTTCAAATTCAAGTTTAAAACTCTATTTAAGAGTAAGAAAACATTTTTTGGCTTATAGTCAACTTACACATGCTATGATGAACAGCAACTACAATGAAAGTAACCATACTTGGAGAACTTAACCATCACTAAAACTTGGTTTTACAACATTAAAATGTTTTCATCTCTAGCATTATCTTCTCTTAATATTTTAATTTACTATCATATATTTTGATGTACCACAAATTTCACTACCAAGAGTGGCTGAACTAATACAAATCAATTATCAGATGAGAACACAGGTTATGGAAAAAATATATATATTTGCTACAGCAAATCGAGAGCTCTTTATTCCTTCAATAAATAGTCCTCCCATCCCCATTCACTCTTTGTCTCTATCCTAGGCTTTCAGGGTTTTTTTTTCCCCCTTTGTTTTTGTTTTTAATGATGAGGAATGTATAAAGTCACAGAATGTGACCCAGTATGGCATTACTCATTACAAGTCTTGAGCCTAGCTCTACTGTGGGCTTGAGCTCTAACACATAGATAAAACCCAAATGTTTGCTGAAGAACTTCATCCTAGTAAATTTTTGCTAGTCTCATTTTCTGACAGTTTATATTGTACTTGGACTTGTATAATGGTTGGTCGGCTACTGATTACTTATTGCTCATTATCATTATAAGAATATATATATATATCTCCCATGACAGATAATGTATCTCCCATGACAGATAATGATCCATTTACTAAAAACAAGTCTTTGAGATTCTGAATCTAGCAAAATAAATAAACAAACAAACAAACAAACAGTAGATCCATGTTAGCATAAAATACTTAGAATGAATTTTCAATGTCATAGGAAAATGCTACATTAAATTAGGAAAAAAAATGCATACTTTTTAAAGAAATAATCAGAGATGTATAGAGGATATCATCTATAACAGCAAAAAACAGCAAAATAACTTAAATGCTGCAAAATAGGAAATTAAGTAAATTATAGTACATTTATACAACAAAATACTATGCAGCAACCAAAAAAAATTGTATTTTAGAAGAATATCTACTGAGATGGAAAATATTCAAAATATTTAGCAAAGAGACTGGGGATCAATACAGTTCTATACAGTATAATCAACTAAAAAATACGGCTAGAAAAAGGTCTGTTAGGACCTACATGACAATTTTAATAGTGGCTGCCAATGGGTAGATGGTTAATGAGTGACTTTCACTTTCAATTTGCCCTCGTTAGCATTTTTTTAATATATACATATGTATGGGTGAGAGGGGATAAATTCGGGAGTTTGAGATTTACAAATGTTAGTCACTATATATAAAAATAGATTTTAAAAAGTTTCTTTCATATAGCATAGAGAACTATGTTCAATATCTTGTAATAATCTTTAATAAAAAAATATGAAAATGAATATATGTATGTATATGCATGACTGGGACACTGTGCTTAGTACACCAGAAACTGACACACTGTAATTGACTGTACTTCCATAAAATATATGTGTGTGTGTGTGTGTGTGTGTGTGTGTGTGTGGGTGGTTTTAAGCAGAAAGAAATTATAAAAATCAGAATATAAATCCATATATCAAGTATGGTCTCAAAAACAATTTCTTTAAGTATATAAAGTGACTACAAATGGTAGTAAAAAAAAATTTTCCTGTTTATAATACTTCTGTTTCCAAATTTAACAGTAGACATGTACCACTCTTATGACAAAGGGAAAAGGTAAATAAGATCTAAACAAATTTGAATTTGTATAACTAGATGAACTTCTTTCAATTTGTTGGGACGTTTTGAGAAAAAGAAAACCATTCATACTATTTATGATTGAGACTATCCATTCTTTATTGCTTGTGTTTAAATTGATTACCTGCAGTGCAATACACTATCTCCATACTCCTAATAAAATTAGCCGAATTATACACCCAACTATTTTCTTCTGTGCATCTCAAATACAGGACTGACTTCCAATGGGAAGAAAGATAAACATAAATAGTTCGGTTCTCTGTAACCTCCTTTTCTCTTAATATTAAAAGACAAAATTATTGACTATTAATTACCCTGAGCTGGTGATTGGCACCTAATTTAAAAGTAGCTCATTAAAGTTTAGTCAAGCAAACCAGCTTGTTAGGAGTTGAGTCAGGAAAACCAACAAGAACATTCCTGGAGCCAAAAAGAGCTACAGTGAAGACAACTCGAAATCAGCCTGAGTACCACTCTCTTGGTCTTTGTTTTGATGTGTACTCTGGTTAATAGAAAAAATAAAGTGTATTATTTTGGTTCGTCTACCAGCCTTGTTAATTCATATTTATGTTATCATATATATGAATTCTCACCCTTTTAAGGTTTAAAATATAAATTATATTTAAAAATTAATATAAAATAAACAGTCCAGGCTCCTGATGAATAGTATTGATAGACAGCACTTAAACCCATCAAGACTATGGATTCAGAAAGTCCCAGAGAATATCACATTCATCTACAATGACTAAATGATACACCTCTGAAGGTATTTGAAAAACAAATAATTTGAGGTTGATCTTGATCTTGCCATTTATTACTTAATAAATTAAAAGTTCACAATATAAAGAGTTTGGCAAAAGCCCTCTTCCCCACATTCACTTGTGGATCTGAAATAAAGTAACGAGGAGAGAGCTGAACCTAACAGGAAAAGGACTGTGACACCTTAGGGGATCTCAAGGTTTAGGGCTACAATGAAGTGGTAAATTAGTATCTGCTTAGAAGATGGTATTTTAAAATTTGTCCTAGGCTATCCAAATAACATGAGATTTACTGATCTGTAACTTGTTTCCCTTTTATACTTTTACCACATAAAAATATTTTACACACATTGAAATAGCTCACTGTGTGGGCTGTACTTTTGACAACTGGATCCCAGGATAGAGCATGAGAGTTGAGGAAGGAAAAGCTCTGAATTTCAGGGACTAGTTTTCAAAAGAAGTATTTTCCTTGGTCTCCCAGGCAGTGGTGACATAAATGTCCTAAGATTAGGAGGAAGTAACTGAGACATCAAGTCTCTGCTATAGTGTTTGACCGAGGGCACAATATTCTTACATTGTATCTCCTACGGAAGAAAGTATGAAATTCTCTCACTAACAATGCCGCCAATTAAAGCAGAAGGAAGAAAGACAAGTCTAAACATTAACCTGTTAAAACATAAAATGTATCACTTTTGGTCAACAGTAAGGTCATAAGACACCACGTGCAGAACAAGGGAAAACCTTTACTAGGCCCTAAATGGAAACTGGAAGCATTTATAAGAATTAATTATTCAACATAAAGTTATAGGGGAGGTACATGCTATTATTCCAGATGTAATCTGTGGCTTCTGGAGACCTCCAACTCCTATTTTATGCTGGTCATGTCCCAGCACTGGGGTACTGTTTTGGCTAACAGTCTTGACTACAAATGCTGCCTTATTTATCTGAAGACCACTAGCCTACCAATTTCCAAATGCCTGATGTCATTAAGATATCCTCTTCACATGGGTGAAGACTCGTGGGTGCCAAACATGGAGACTTACATGATTGCCAAGTTTCTTTCTGACAAACTTATTTATTTCGTAACCCCATTCTCACCCCTTCACTCTTTAAGAAACAGTCAGATT